ATTTCGCGTTTCACTGATTTTCTTACATCAATTAAAAAATTTAGTAAAAATAATGTCTGTACAAACTTATTACAAAATTATTTCGCGTTTCACTTATTTTATTGCGTCAATTAATCCTAATGAAAAATGTCTCGACAAACTTGTTCAAATATTTCGCATTTCGCCGCTTGTTGTATTAAGTTAAGTTTCGCTTGCTTTTGGATTAGCCGCACACACACGCAATATCCGGTCTACCGTCCGCAGGCCGCCATTTGTGCGCAGTGGGATGTTTGCGCAACGGTTGGATGCGGCGGAGAGCAAACTGACGTGGAAACTGTTGGACGACTGATGTTGGATGCCGGACCAGTCAATGCCGGGCATGCCGTGAGAGAAATGCTAGAACGAAACCGGGTGCGGGTTTTCTGCTAATGTTATCTATGTAACGGTTCTCAGATAATGCGCAAACGGAAAACTGCGCAACTGAAAAATGCGCAAACAGACAAATGCGAAAATGTTAACGAATTATACTAATACACTTTCATTTAGTCATATTTCGTGGATAAGTGTTTTATTATACTACAATATACGCGTTGTGCCTCTTTGTAAATGCTCGACTTAAGAAAACAAAAATGCCCCCTTTTTTTGCGCAGTTTTCCATTGCGCATGTTTCCGGTCAGTGGCGTAGCGAGGTCGGGTGTCACCCGGTGCGGCACTTAATGGTGTCACCCCCTAGAGGCGTAGTGACCCTTCCCGGAAACAAAATTTCAAATTTTCAATTTGCACCCCCCCTTCAAACTTTCGATTTGCACCCCCCCCTCAAACTTTTGATTTGCACCCCCCCCCCCCACGTCAAGTTTTTCTCTATATATTTTGCTATTTTTTGCCTTGGTGTCACCCCCCTAAATGGTGTCACCCGATGCGGTCCGCACCCCCGCCCCGTCGCTACGCCTCTGTTTCCGGTCACCCTATCATACACATGATTGCTTCACCAAAAGTATTAAATATTGTATGGGTTTTTTTCGAAACTATGTTTCTATGCACCACTCTTGATAATCCTTAATTTCTTGGCTTTTAACACGTTTCTGCCCTTACCCCCTTTTTTTTTTTTTTTTAGGTCTAAAGAATTTAATGACTCACTGATACACTAGCAAATTCAATAATAATCATTAACAGAGACATTTTGAACCAACCACACGAATTCTCACACATTTGGAATGAAATTCAACATTTTCCCAATAATTTGGCTAACATAGTCAAAATAACTTAATTTTACCAAACATGATGGAACATGTACCATCCAAATAAAAAATGCTTGTGAAACATCCTAAAATGTCCACTGCATCTATTAAAACAAACTACACATTCCTTGTAAATTATTTAAACACAACTTGTACAACAGCTAATTCTCAAAGTGTTTTCAGTCACATTGATTATCAAAATGATCAACTACGTTAGTACAGCTGTAAATATGAATTATTTAGTGGACAATTATTTCACCCAAAAGCAATTCACACACCATTTGGTCACAAATAAAAGATTGACTTTAAAAAGTACAATAAGTAATTAAAATTAGATACATTCTGAAACATTTTTAAAACAATATCAAGAATGGTTCCTATTTTCTTCACAATCAGAAACATGAAAATGAGCCTCCATTATGTAAATAGATATGAATAATCCACATCACTAAGATAAATATGCAAATATATGTTAAATGAAAATGGCAAACATTGACAAAGTAATTCTGTGAAATCTAGAAATTATCAATTTCTACTCTTCACCTGACCCTGTAGATCTCAAGATTTCGTCTTTGCCTTGGTGACTGTTTATCACCCTAAGGTTAGTTAATGTTTAGGATTACAATGAACAGTTTACAAAATGTGCGATGACAATAATTTAAAGAAATAGGGAATTTTAATGCAATAAATTAATAATGCAATTCAGCTAATAGTTTTCTATTTAAACTACAGTTTAAAATTTATAAAATTATTATTATCATAGATACACCTATTTAAAGGAATGTAATATCATATTTGTAAATTAAAATCAGATATGGCATTTAAAATTATATTACTTTTAAATATTTATTTATTTTTTGTGTGACTTTTGAGAGTAGTTGTAGGTTGTTTCCCTTATTATTATGTTCCAATAAAATGGGAAGGAACTCAGACAAGTTAAAACTTCTTTCTCAGTTTAAAATGAGTTGTTTAGTGCGACACACTAGATTTGGGCAACAAAATGGATTAGGGTGACATAATGGATTATGACGACATGACGGATAAGTGCGGCATAATGAATTAGGGCGACATAATGAATTAGGGCAACACATTGGATTCGGGTGACTCTTTAGATTATTTGACGGCAAGAATCTCTTAAACATTTAGGATACGTTTATTAATTACACCAAGTCAATAGTTTTAAAATAGCTTACTGTAGTATTCTAGTAATCCCGATCGAAGGTAAGGGGTAGCTTCAAATTATTAAATGAAAATATCTAATTCGTGATGATTTTTGTCCCTACAAGACAGGTCATTGAACTCCATATTTGTACGTAAACACATAAATCGTGAGATCAAAGCTGTCATGTTTTCTTTCGGTGCTAATTGTTTCCCCGTGCGCCCACCAAGGTCACCTTCAAGTTGTAGGTGAGTTTGGTCACGTGATCTGCTGCTTGGCCCAAAGGTCGCCTGGGGCTTTTTGAGGATGAGCCAAATCAGGTTAGCCCTAGGAGAAAACTGACAATACCTGCAATGGGCGATCTGTGCTAGTGGGTTTGGTCTTCATGTGGCGGGCAAACAAGTTTTGGTTTAGTTCTTTTTGCGTCAAAAAAAAAAAAAAACAAAAAAAAAAAAAACAAAAAAAAAACAAAAAACAAAAAAAAAAAACAAAAAAACAATACAACAACTGGTAATATTTGAAAAACAATGTCTGTAAGCAATTTCCCCAGAAGGGAATTATTATAAAAAATGATGTTAGCGTGCGTAAATCTAAATCTCGTGTTCTATTGTATTTCGTAAAGTGTCTGGAGTGAAATTACAGACTAGAAAAAAAAGACGAAGTAAGGCAAAGGGGAGTTAACTTGTTTTCTATAGTTGAAGTGAATTGCCTGTTGATTTCTCTTTAAATAAAGAAATTCGGGCTTATTGTTTTTTAGTATTTACCATCAGAATAAATCAGCATTCAATAAAAAAAAAACAAAAAAAAAAAACAACTCCTCAGCGTGATAAGTTTAAAAAGTTTTAGCCTTATAAATGAAGAAAATAAAAAATAACATAATAATTATAACTGTAAAATCATAATATTTTATTTTTAAATTTTTTTTTTAAACGTTAAAAATAATTGTGTCAAAAATATTTTGAGACAAGAAGATGGTCCGGTACATAAAAAAAAAAAAAAAATAAGGGGAGAGAAGAAAGTTTATTTACGTAGAGTTAATTGTACCACAACGATCTGGCCGTGGTCTGTCTCTCTTCAACCAAAACCCCATGACAGGGAGAAAAAAAAAATTATATCACTGCCACCCCCCCCCCCCTCCTCAACTGTTAAGTTAAAGGTTGCACGTGCCTGGTAAGGTGGTAAAGGGGGGGGGGTTAGATTTTAACGTTAGATATGCCATCCATAGGTCCTGTAAGTCTGGGTGAGGGGGGTGGGGGGTAGATTTTAACGTTAGATATGCCATCCATAGGTGCTGTAAGTCTGGTTGAGGGGGGTGGAGGGATGGTGGAGGGATGGTGGAGGGGTGGTGGAGGGGAATTGTTTATACAAATGGCACGCGCTCAAGTCGGCAGAAGATCGGTGCGGTAGTGATTGGGTGAATTGGTGGGGGAGGGGTGGCAGAAATTGGGTTATGGTGTAGATGGGGGGGGGGGGGTTTACAAGGAGTGTAGGGGTGTTGCGTTTTGATTGTTGGAGAAGGGTATAGTTCTGATTGTGGGGTGGGGCATTTTGATAATAGGGAGAGGTAAAGAGTTGATTGTGGCGAGGGGTATAGAGATTTGATTAAGGGGAGGGGTGTAGAAATTAGATTATAGGGAGGGGGTATAGAAATTTGATCAAAGTGAGGGGTGTAGACATTTGATTTTGGGGAGGGGTATAGAGTTTTGATTATGAGGAGGGGTATAGAATTTTGATTATGGGGAGGGGTATAGAGTTTTGATTGGGTAGGGGTGTAGAGTTTTGAATAAAGGGAAGATGTATAGAGTTTTGATTATGGGGAGGGGGTATAGAGTTTGGATAATGAGATGAAATGTAGATAAGGTAACGTTTGATGAGGTAGTAACGAAGACGCGCGATTGATGTATACAACATGTAGCCTATGTCCTGACGTTAAGGCCCTCGAAATGATAAACATCTGACTTGGATGGAGGGATAAGCAGAATTACCGTGGACAAACTCAGTCTTTTGTGCCGGCTAGGAAATTTATATGTCTAAATATGTATGTGTGCCGGCTAGGAAATTTATATTTATAAATATGTATGTGTGCCGGCTAGGAAATTTATATTTACAAATGTGTATGTGTGCCGGCTAGGAAATTTATATTTATAAATATGTATGTGTGCCGGCTAGGAAATTTATATTTATAAATATGTATGTGTGCCGGCTAGGAAATTTATATTTATAAATATGTATGTGTGCCGGCTAGGAAATTTATATTTATAAATATGTATGTGTGCCGGCTAGGAAATTTATATTTATAAATATGTATGTGTGCCGGCTAGGAAATTTATATTTATAAATATGTATGTGTGCGTTTTATACAATGTTAATTACGTTTTAATAAAGATACATTTCTGTTAACTTTGTAAAAACAATGACTTAATTGTTTACAAGGTTTTTATTTTTAATTTCTTACAAACTAATATGATAGAGAATTCAAAACGTAATGTAAAATGAGAAATAACACGTTTAAACTATTTAGATGTAAAGACTTACATGTGTTAAAATTTTAGAACATATTTTTTTTTTAAATTTAAAAGTGAGCAGTGCCAAATTTATAATTATATTTTAAACTCACTCACCAGGTGCAGACGTTTGAGAATTCTTGGCGGTTTCCTAACTTCTGCAGTGTGCCCATCGAACTTGTTCGAAGCTGCCAGAAATTAAGTATTTTGTTAGGGAGATAAATCTACTTCCTGTGCAAAGCAGTTGTCGTCAAACTTTACACAGGAAGGTGCTTGATATCTACGAGATTTGTTTGACAACAAGCAAGGGCAGGTAAATCTAATCTTCATGCTGCGGGACTACAAACGGGTGTTCTCCCTTGGTTATCATGATTATGATGACAGACCCCAATGAGCATGTCGCCGCCGGTCTACTCAGAGGTTCGCAGCAAAGACGGTTCACCTTTGACGACACGCCCCAGCGGAGCAACCCAAACCACTACGTCTCTCGTCAGCCGGTAGCCGACACCAGTCAACAGCTGAAGCCGGCAGCCGGCACGACCAAACAGCTGAAGCCGGCGTTGAGTCCGGACGATGGGTACTGCACCGACAGCCGGTCCAACACGTTGTCCTCTGTGTCCTCCCCTCTGTCCTCCAGCCTCTCATCTCTCTCCATGTTCGACAGCGCCTCCTACAACCCCAACAGCGCCCCATTCAACCCTAACAGCGCCTCATTCAACCCTAACAGCGCCTCATTCAACCCTAACAGCGCCCCACCTTATAATCAACATATCTCATACAACAGCATAAACAATCAACCAGCTATGCAGCGTGGACCAATAGAAAAGGGACCCAATCCTATCGGAGCGAGGTCCCCTATCAGCAAACACTCCGGAATCCCAGCCAAACGCCGGGAACTACTTCTAGAATCCCCTGACAACACTAGTCTAGAAGACCGATTGCGTGCTTTGACGACTATAGAAGAAGAAGATTCATCCGGTCCTTACAGAGACCGCGGTTTTGGAAAAAACGGAGCTATGGGCTACACCAGGGATTCTCAAGACTACCCAGGGAGTCCCCGGGACTTTCGATACAACAAAAGAACAGTGGAGAACCCTGGGTTCGGTTCCGCTTTAAACTACGCCACGCCGCAGTCCGCGGACGCAGGATATTTCCGAGCGGTTCCAGTCGCCGTGGTGTCGAACGAAGGTTCTTCTTTTTTCCCAGACCGGGGGAGCGATGGGTATCACACGCCGAGCCCCCGGGGAGATCACGTTTCTCAGAAAGGTTCTCAAGGCGGTGCCATGGCGTCCCCGTCAATCCATCTAAACGGCGATGGTTGGAGAGACTATACAACTTTCTTTCAGAAGGATTCAGAGATACCTTTGCATAATATAGACCCAGCCGGGCGTGGAAAGTTTACAAATTTATGCAACGATGACGTGTTTGATATGGATATCAACAGACAAATCGGGACTGGTTCCCCCGCTCAGCATAAGAAAATGAGTAGATTTAATTATCCTGAAACTGAAAATCTTGGATTGGTTCACGGGAAGAATGAAACAGTTTTAAATCGAGGACAGACAAGGAGTTATAGTTCAAGTTCTGGTCAGTTTATGTACAGCGGTGTGGAAGATACTGGACAGGATAGGGCGGATTTTCAAGGAGTAGAAAACAGAAGCAGCTTCCAACACGTTTCCCGACAGAGTCAGATGATGAGTTCAATGCCAGATTTGAGATACCAGGATCCGTCATGGGTACCCGGAGTCACGCAGCCCCACGCCGGGATTAGGAGCCACTACCCTCCGCACAACGACCAGTATTGGTCACAACAACCCCAGTCGCATGTGTACGAGCGCCTGACACAACCGAGATATCAGCCTTCACCTAAACCTCCTCCACAACCCGAGCCGCCGGTCCATTCTCTAACCAACCGGTACGTCAACCAACAACAGATGTACGCTTCGTCCATGGACGTCTACGATTCGACCCGGCAGTCGCGCGGGAATAGTCAGATCTACCCCGACCAACAGGTCGACGGCTACCCGGAAGCGGTGCTGCGAAGGTCAAGGTTGACATCCTCAGCACGCGCGACCCCGACTCACCAAGACAGATACTCCTGGCAGCCAGAGAGCATGTACGACGCTCCACTGGAATCGGAGAAAATGCGACGAGCCGAAAGGACGTCTTTAGACTTAGGAAATATCCCGCAACTACAGAAACAAATTCGAGCGACATCTGAACTGTGTCTTCAAGCCTCCAGAAGACATATGTTCGCCTCGTCTGCAGATATATACAAGTTATTCTCTGGCCAGAAAAAGCCACCGACACCCGCGTCTCCAACTATGAGTTGCCAAAATGGCTTCAGCGGTGAGGCAAGCAGGCAAAGCTTGAACTCAACACCCAGCAATATTTGGCCAGGCGCTTCACACGCACCCGCCAGCCCGCAGTACGTTCAAGAATCTCCGAGACCCAAACCAAAACTCAGGATCGTAATGCCGCCGTCTTCCTTAGCCGGGGTATCTTCACCTAAGCCAATTCGCGCAGACCACAGCATCGGCATCCCTCCAACAACATGGTCAAGCATCACGTCTTTACCCAACTCTGCTTTATACGAGACAGACAAACCCTCCTTCCAAAGACATACACCAATGTCTTCGGTTATAGACCAAGAGAGAATAAACTTCCAACAAAGACCAATCTCGGATCGACCGCTTTTCCAAAGACAATCCAGCGGATACTCTTCAGAAACGGAACTCCAGCAAATTGAATTCAACGCCAAATCAGCCCGGAAACTTCAAACACATCAAGGGATGTCACTCTCTTTGGAAAACTCTAACCAAGAGTTTATCCCTCTGAATAGATCCGCTGACGATTCGAATACAGGGACGGATCAGACTGATGAGATAATTGACAATGAACCTCTTTACGTCAATCAATCAATGATGTCGAGAGGTCGAACTTCAGACTCCCTGAACAAATCCTCGGGTTCTGATTGGATCGATACGCCTAAACAAACGGATGTTTTTCTCCAAGAAGAGATGGGTCAAGCTACATCAGACCAAAGGCCTCCGTCGGCTTCCAGCGTAGTGTACCAAAACATGAGGTCCGTCATCCCACAAACGGCAAAAACCAACAAAGACAACACGGCATACCCAGAGATCACGCAGAACCAAGTCGTCAAAATCAACTACAGGCCAATCACCATTACTAGTCATGTGCCGGCTCATCCTTTCTCTGGCCCCGAAGAAAACAACAACAACAACAACAGCAACTACAACTACGATAGCAACTTCACATCCAACACAGGAAACAACCGCAACACCCCACCAAAGAGCTACCCCCTCACCCCTCATATTTCAGTGGTACACGACTACCCAGTCGACCAGCACGCCAGGGACCAGATTTCGAACCCTCCCTACTCCTACCCCCACGCCGCCCACCTGCACCCGGGCAACGGTCAACTCTACGAACCGAACGGTCACGTGACACGGCACCGCTCCGTCCAGCTCTCCCCCGTGGAGATCGCCCAGATGCTGGACACGCCCTTCGCCACAAACATCATCTCTGATGAGCAGGGCGACAGGCTGTCAACCTTAGTGTAAGGCTCCGCTCGCACTATTTTCTGTATACATCCAGGATACTTTGTTGGATAAATTTAACTCATTGTACGCACTATTTTCTGTATACATCCAGGATACTTTGTTGAATAAATGTATCACTGCGTACACACTATTTTCTGTATACATCCTGGAATACTCTCTATTGCATAAATATAACGCAGCGCACTCACTATTTTCTGCTCACACGACAAATTACTCTTTACGGGTAAATGTATCACTACGCACGCACTATTTACTATTAAAATGATGGAATACACTTCACTTGATAAATATAATACTGTGTGTATAAATCAAGATGACTTTATTAAATAAATGTATCTCTGCGCACGCACTATTTTCAATACACATCTGGAATACTCTGTATTGCGTACGCACTATTTTCACTGTGTACTATTTTTCTCAATTCATCGGGTTATTATAATAATATTTATCATAAGTGCAGAATTCTCACGTGACGGCGGACTAATCTTCATGGATAATAATATGTGATTTTTCTAAGTGCCACTATTGAAAAAAAATATACAAAATGTCTTTTGTTTACTTTTAAAGCAACCCGTTTAAATAGCCAAATCGAGTTGAAAATACAGAAAACTATTTATACGCAGTTCCTCTAAAGGATTCTCAAGACTTATTTCATCGAAAAGAAGCTTATACTGGTGGACTAACAGTCACCAATATAGCACGTGACCTTTGAACTTTAAAGCTCCTCTCTCGCTCGACCACCGGACTTTGATCATCTTCACAAGGGCTTCGATGGCCTTTGATTCTTCTTCATTTGACATTTCTATTAGAACAGTTATCGGCCTTGTTACAGGTGGTAGTAGGTTGCGTCCCCTGATGGACGAAAATAGCACAGTTTAGAGGGTAAAATATGGTCGCTGTGATAACAAGGAACGAGAGTTAAATAACAAACCGCAAGCACCAGATGTGGGACAGCTTCCAGGATGGTTCTAGAAAATGGTTCTCTAATACATATCTAGCACTCCTTCTCTTAAAACTGCTGCATCGCCACATGGTTACATATTTTAATCAGGCAACGTAATTTATTTGCTAACATTTTCTGGTTTATATATACACCTGTATGTGTGTGTGTGTGTGTGTGTGTGTGTGTGTGTGTGTGCAGTGGCTCGGGTAAGATTTTGCCAATGTGGCGCGGGTGGGTGGGGCTAGATATCAGTTTAGCCGATATATATATATATATATATATATATATATATATATATATATATATATATATATATATATATATATATATATATATATATAAATATATATACAGACGTATAATTCCCATCCCTCAATTCCTACTGGCTAAGCCACTGCATCTGTGTATGTTTATGGACAAGTAATCTTACTTGCATTCAGCGAAAATAAATGTGAAGCCGACACTGAGCTTAAGAACCAAATGTCTGATTGTCCAATGAATGAATGGAACTCTTCTAGCAAACAGACTTTTCATTCATACAATACGTTGATTTGATTCTCGTTTTGTTTACCCAAGGTATTATTTTAGCCCACCTAAATGCTTTGATGGATTCATCAATCAAATAAATTATCGAGGGAAAATTGACCAGCCCACCAAAATGCTGTGAAAGACTCTTATATTATTGATTTTATTTTCAATCTTTTAATTTAAAAAAAAATGTCAATGTTTGCTAGAGTATGAAGTTTTAAATTTCGAAATTTTTATTAAAGAGACATAAATTTGTATAAATATTTCAACAATATTTAAATTAATTTTTAAGAATAATATTAAAGAATATGTATATATGTAAATATTTGTATGTAAAATATATTGGCATACACACAAACACAGACACACACATAAAACTTGAATTTTACCTGATGTAGGTATGTGTATACATGTTTCATTTTTATTTTTTTAAATTTTGAAGTGTAAAATATAATAATCAAATTTTGTTTTTAAATCTGAGTGATGTTAAATATGCTTAAACAATTTTTTTGGGGAAATTTTTTTTTAGATGATTTCAAATCGAGCAATATTTGAATTGAATTTAATGTTAACTTCAACATTTGACCTTCTTTCAAAAAGTAGTGTTGCGGATTTACCCTGACTCTCCACGCTCTTAGAGCAATATTCAGTAGTCTTTTAAAAAAAACGGGTTTTGTACATACGAAGCTAATTGCACGTTCTAATTGTGACAGTGTGAATATGGCATAAACTAATTAATTAGTTCAATTATAAGCTGTTTTAGTGGGATGTATTTAACACAGAGCCCACAGTTTGTGGTTACAGTTTGAAAGGGGTGGGGGTGGGTGGGAGGGTGTGTGACTACTCATCAACCCCACCTTGAGTATTAAAAAATTGCTAATTGTTATTAAAGGGAAAGGGGATGGTGTGGTTGGGGGCTAGAGCTCACGACAGCTAACTCGAAAGTCTCGAGTCTGTAGGACGCCACCGAGCCCACCCAGCTCTGATGTGTACCTGACTCACTTTAGGGAAACCAAATCGGCTGGGTATTGTGTGCTACTGTCGTTGGAACGAACTCTACTTCATCTGCTCCCTGTGTCTTGGGAAGTTTCTTTCAGGCATCTCTATGAAGAACGTCTACCCCCCCCTACCAACGAAATAGAATTTATTTAGAAAATATACACTTTTACCAGTGTCCGACCCCCCCCCCCATATTTCCCAGGAAATTTCGAAAAAAAAAGTCTGAAAGAAACACTGCTTGGGCACGAACTGGAAAACATGATGATGATTGAAAGGGGGGGGGGTACTAAATCAATTCCCTTGTTATATGAGCTCATGTAGTGAATCAAGTCCCCTAAATTGAACACTCAGTGATGCCTTTCCAAGATAAATAAACGGGACACCTTCCTAGCGAAACTTTCTACCAACGCCCATAGCCAGAGCAAAATAAACGTTTAATTAAGTCTATCAAATATTTAATACTTTTATAGATATAACGAACATGTATTGAAAACGTGTAAAATTACTTTATTTTTCAATTTATAACAATGGTCTGTGAACAATGTATATTATTAGCTTGGTGTTTTTTTAAAAATAAAAATAATGTCTTTGAAACTGAAATAAAGTAAACATAAAATTTGTGTGTTTATTTTAATTTTAAATTGTGCTTATTACTTCGTTGTATTTCTTTTCTTCTTCTTCTTCGTTCTTAATATTTAGTGTTGGGAGAGATTGAGCCTCATCTGCCCGAGGGTTCGAACTCGTGACTTTTAAGAAAATGCATATACATTGTTATGTTGACTATATGCTCTCATATTTCACTGAATATTTATAAAGCTATATGAATTATGTTGAAGTTTTAAATTTAGTATTATGGCATAAGGGGACACCAGTCAGGATATTAAACACAAGCTAAACCGCTAACAGTTATAGCCCCTACCAGAAACTAGTGGGTTGAACAGAATAAGTTTCCAATAAAGAGAAACAAATACCAAAATACCAGACAGAAGAGGAAATACAAGTAGTGGCTATTGTGTTGACCACAGCTTACGCCCGACAAAGATTTTTAGCTGGTGAAGTAACATTCTGAAGCTTGTTATTTATTATTTATTTTCACAAGGTACACTTTCGTAAATGTTATAGTTGTCAAGAACGACTGTTAAAATACATATTGTAAAATGGAGGCGATCTTTGTTATCTATTCAGCCTACGTTCAACTGTAAATAAATATGTAGTGATATGTTGTACGGATATAGATACGCATGCAGCATCAGCTCTGCATGTATAGCCTATAAGTACACTGAATGAGGCATTCTATTCTATTGGTAAGAGCGCTCGACTGCTAACCCGAAAGTCTTGAGTTCGAATCTTGAACTGTAGTCTGTAGGATGTCCACCCAGCTCTGATGGATACCTGACCTATGTAAGGAAAGTAAAGGCGGCTGGACATAATGCTGACCATAATATCTTTCTATATATCGCGGTAATGAACTCTCAAATGTCTGAAACTACTGTTTGTGAATTTTACACGGGCGTTTTGAATTGCACATCTATTTGTTACGGGAGTTCCCTAACTCTTTTGTACACATTTTGAGCAGTTCTGTAAGGTGCTGTCTGGGATAATAAGCATCCGTCTTGTATAGTCAACACCACCTGTTTGTGTCTGTGTTAAATAACAATTCTGCTTGTTGTATTCTCCCCAATACATCGGGTTATAACGCTGAATTCTATTCCCACAAGGTAAACTTTAATGTTAATATGTCTCATTTTACCACAGGATAAACTTTAATGTTAATACCACAAGGTAAACTTTAATGTTAATACCACAAGGTAAACTTTAATGTTAATACCACAAGGTAAACTTTAATGTTAATACCACAAGGTAAACTTTAATGTTAATACCACAAGGTAAACTTTAATGTTAATACCACAAGGTAAACTTTAATGTTAATACCACAAGGTAAACTTTAATGTTAATGTCTCGCTTTACCCCAAGGCCCAAGGTAAACAATTAATTTTAATTTTTTCAATGAAAATATAAATAACATGGCATAATTGGATCCAGTGGGTTTAAAAAAGATTTAATCGGCAAAGTATTGAGTTCAACTTACTACAAAGTGGGGTTTCCTGAAAATCGATCAGTTTCTATACAACCAATCAATGTTTTTAAAATAACTCAAGTTAGACTTCAGGTTTCAATTCAGGCTAATGAAAAATAGAAATTTAGCCTTAAACACACATATATTTGTAAGTTCTTTGCATTTTCATTTTTTATACCATGGATTCTTATAATATTAGATTTCTCAAATATTTCACTCTTTTTAAAGTTGTTTCTTTTTACGGCCGCCATAGTGGCAATGTTGACGAAAACCTGTGTGTCCTTAAGTCCACGATAATTATGGAAGCCATTTCGTCTAACTATTTGGGGTCCATTGCATGAGTTGGCGACGGTGTGCATACGAAAGGATTTTTAAATTAAAATAAAAATTAAAGTTTTAAAAATATTTTTCAAAACATCACAGGTTAAATTTAAAGTCTTTTTGTTATTGCACCGTTAAACAGCCACACTGATCCCTATTGTTTAAATCAGTAAGGTCTATTCGTTCCTGTTCTAACTTAATTCGCAGCGGCGCAAAATTTATTCCAGATTAACTCTACCTCACCTACACCACTGACAGAAGAGTCAAGCAGTGGGACAGGGTAGCCACATATGTCACAAGCATGACTCTGATCCTATGTGTGACTTATTTGCTACTTTTATATAGTGAGTTACAACGTGCCTTAATATACAGTTAATTAAAATAACGACTTATCAGTATTGTACTCCTTTATTCACAGTTGTAATTGTATGTCTACTGCTTCTACATAGCCCAGACCTATAGACCGCGTGGCTAAATAGTAAACACTATGGTAAATTAAAGTGCCAATTTTAGTAGTAATATTGTTTACAATGATACGCGTCTAAAACAAGTACATGTATGCGTTGACTAGTGGGAACGCGTCGTCGGGTAGTACTCGCTGCTAAAACTTTGCTCTTGTAGATAAAACAAGTATTGAAGTCAAGTATTGGGTTCATTATTGTAGTTTCTTTACAGAAATTAATGTCCATTTAGAAGAAAAGGTAAAATTTATAGGTTTTATATTCGACATTTAAAGACATAATTTGGTCAGCACAATATCAGTATTCTTCATTTTCTTTGACTCGATTACCCATCAGATTTTTGGTGGATTTGGGGATTTCCTGATACTATTGCATGGGGAAAGAACTCTAGACTTTCGGATTAGTAATCGTGCGCTCTTTCACCCAACCACGCCATCCCATTAAGAGACAACCGGTCCACCTAATCTGACCTAGTTCTTAGTAGATCGCATAATTTATACCATGGCACATCATGGATTAGTAGGTCGCATAATGTGCATCACAGTATATCATGGATTAGTAGGTCGCATAATGTACATCATAGATTAGTAGATCGCATAATGTACATCATGGATTAGTATGTCGCATAATGTACATCATAGATTAATAGATCGCATAATGTACATCATGGATTAGTAAGGTCGCATAATGTACATCATAGTACATCATGGATTAGTAAGGTCGCATACTGTACATCACAGTACATCATGGGTTAGTAAGGTCGCATAATGTACATCATGGATTAGTAAGGTCGCATACTGTACATCACAGTACATCATGGGTTAGTAAGGTCGCATAATGTACATCATAGTACATCATGAATTAGTAAGGTCGCATAATGTACATCATGGATTAGTAGGTCGCATAGTGTACATCATAGTTTATCATGGATTAGTATGTCGCATCATGTACATCATGGATTAGTACATCGCATCAGGTACATCATATTCAACATGGGTTAGTAGATAGCTTCACGTACATTATAGTACATCAATGGCGTAGCGAGTCGGGTGTCACCCGGTGCGGCACTTAATGGTGTCACCCCCCCCCCCCCAGAGGCATAGAGACCCTTCCCAGGGACAAACTTTCAAATTTTCGATTTGCACACCTCCCCCTTCAAACTTTCGATTTGCACCCCCCCTCAAGTTTTCGATTTGCACCCCCACTCAAACTTTCGATTTGCACCCCCCCCCTCAAGTTTTCGATTTGCACCCCCCCCCCCTCAAACTTTCGATTTGCACCCCCCCTCGAGTTTTTCTCTATATATTTTGCTATTTTTTGCCTTGGTGTCACCCCCATAAATGGTGTCACCCGGTGCGGTCCGCACCCCCGCCCCCCCCCCCCTCGCTACGCCCCTGTAGTACATCATTGATTAGTAGATGGCATCAAGTATATTATAATACATAGTACCCCTCTTCAGACAGAAGAGATGATGTGCTTTCTTTATAATAGCTAAAATCGGGTTAAAAAACTAGTCTTTCGGTTCTACTATTTACATTTTAAAAAATACGCCATAGGTGTTGAAATTATTGTATAAACTTACCTTTACAGACCTTACCCAGGGCCGAAATAATTCTTTCCTGGTGAAGATCGAAGGCCACGAAAAGGACTGTAAGGTTTTCGATTGCCGTTACACCGGGCGGGTGTACGGTCACTTCTGGCAACCCTACGACACGGTCGTCCCTCTCAAGACGGGAGCACCGTGTCACATTCTCGTGGCCCAATTCTGCGCGGACAAGTTGGGACATTGTGACCGCTTCTACATGTGGCAATCGGTATGGGCATTGTGGTCTTTACGTCACAATGTTATTTAAAGTAGCAGCTTTTCTAAATATTTACAGTATTAATTAACGCGGTAAAATTTCACAAAACTATTTAAAGCAATAGCTTGTCTAAATATTTACAGCATTAATTAAAGCGGTAAAATTTCACAGAACTATTTAAATTAGTAGCTTTTCTAAGTATTTACACGATTAATTGGAGCGGTAATTAGTTAAAGATATCGCAATGTTATTTAAAACACTGATTCGTCAAAATGTCATAGAACTATTAAAAGCAGAACTTTTTTGTTAAGATACTACAGTATTATTTAAAGTAGTAGCTTTTCTAAATATTTACAGTATTAATTAATGCGGTGATTCGTTAAAGCTATCTCAATACTATTTTTAAAAAAAGGTAATTTGTCAAAAATATTACAATATTAGTTAAAGCAGGAGCTTTTCTAAATATTTACATAATTAATTACCGCGGTAATTAGTAAAATATATCGAAATGTTATTTTAAAATGGTAATTTTTCAAAGATATCACAATATTATTTAAATTAGTAGCTTTTCTAAATATTTACAGTATTAATTTACGCGGTAATTAGTTAAAGATATCTCAATACTATTTAAAAAGGTAATTTGTCAAATTATCATAGAACTGTTTAAAGAAGTAATTTGTTATAGATGTCACAGTATTATTTAAAGCTGTAGCTTTTTAAAATATTTACAGTATTAAAGAGGGAATTAGTTAAGATATCACAAAACTCTTTTTTTTTTTAAAAAAAAAGGTAATTTGTCAAAATGTCACATAACTATTTAAAGCGGTAATTTCTCAAATATACCAGAGCATTATTTTAATGGACTATTTCTAAAAGTTTACTTACGTTACAAAATGATTGTAATTCTGTTTAGAGTAAATATGAAGATATATTTTTCGCAACAGTGTTAATGACTGTAGTGATCATAAAACACATTATCATTTGTAATAATTTAAGTATGAAAATTAAATACCAATTCATTGGCTAAGAAGAATTTAAAAAAAAAATATCAGCTGACATAGACTTATGGTAGTTGTTTTCAAAGTGCTTGTTTTTTTAGCATTTAATAAACTCTAGAACATAACAAATTTATGTGATATTTCAAGGATGAAAATGTGATTATACAGACATGTGGGAGAATAGCTGGACCAACAGTAGTGACACATATTCACACTTGCACACCACGCACAGACACACACACACCAACACACACACACATGCAAACAAAACTACACACACACAGACAAGCATAAACTCACAATTGCACATCACTTACATAATTACACACGCACCTGCGCATACACAAACTCACAAACACACACACACACACTAGTTGCTGGACAATTGGGTCGTGACACACATTCACAATTGCAAACCACCCACACGCACACAAACACATACACTTACACACACACACGTAAAAACATACACACAAAGACAAACACACACTAACACTTGAAAAACACGCACACAAACACCCACACCCACACATCTGAGCACTGACACAACCACACTCACCGCGCATACAAACACACATACACAATCACACACACCACACATACACACAAACACAGACACACACAAATACACACACACACACACAAACATAAACTTAGCCCCCGGGAAATGTTGACCGCCCCCACCCCCACCGAAAATATCAAGTGCCCCCCTCCGCCCCCCCCCCCCGGAGAAAAATTTCTGGAAGAAACACTGCAAACATTACCGCGGTACAAAAATGATAAATTGATAACAAACACGATTTTATTGTATTGATTTTAAAAACCTTCTCACTAATATGACCACATAACAAAATCGATACCTTACTGACAAATACGATTTTATTGTACTAATTTTAAAAACCTTCTCAATAACATTACCACGTGACAAAAATGATTCATCGTGAACAAAAACGATTTTATTGTACTAATTTTAAAAACCTTCTCACTAACATTATCACGTGACAAAAATGATTCATCGTGAACAAAAAACTGTTTTATTGTACTAATTTTCACCTTCTCACGTACCAGCTCTGCGCTGTTTGGACTGTCTGTGAGTTTTGTGAAATAGAAGGGCCAAAGTTCAATGACCGATGCACGTGCAAGCCTGGCGACCCCAGCTATTTCGCGATCAACACCTTGGGGATAGAGAAACCTTGGATCCGGCTGGTTTTCTTTCAGAGTTTCTCGCTCCGGCCGCCGGATGAAAAAAGTGTGATCGCCTACAGCAACGCTTTCAACCACCTAAATCATCCTGGTAAACGGTTTCATATTTTCGATCATTTATTGATGTCGATTATTGGTTATTGATCATTTATTGATTTTTTTTCACTATTGGTTTTTGATCATTTAATGATTTTTCACGATTGTTTTTCGATCATTTATTGATTTTTCACTATTGGTTTTCGATCATTTATTGATTTTTCACCATTGGTTTTCGATCGGTTATTGAACTTTATTTCTTTCTCTTCTAATATAGTTTCATACGATATACAAAGAGTAGTGATCTTTACGTAGTTGAGTAGAACTAGACAAGATTTTAGAATAAATTAAATGAAAGAGAAATATATCTAGGGCAGCATTGGATAAAAAGCCCACACCGAGTAACAAACCATCCTTAAAAAAATTTTAAAATGCTGTTAGAAAACAACTTTAAAAAAAATAGAACTCTGCGTAAAAAAGCATGAATACCCCTCAGAAAAAAATAAAAATCCTACAAATGCTTATTTTTGCACTTTAAAAAATGTTTTGCTAAATTTTAGCCTTGGTCAAAGTTAGTTCACTTAACGACCACAGAAGCAGTCGTAATTACCCGAATAAATCTAGCAAATGTATTATTACTATAAGGGACATGGAAGGGACGTAACTTTAATTTTTTGCCATGCATAGTAGATTTGATTTGACTCAGGCTAAAACGCGCATGGCGTTTTAATAAAGCTCCCCCATAACAGAAAATACAGTAAAATATTATAGATAAAGCTATTATCATTATTAAAGTTTTTATATATATATATATATATATATATATATATATATATATATATATATATATATATATATATATATATATATATATATATATACATCTGAACAGAGAACTGGAACCCTACTCTTGCCACTAATGGAGATGTAAGGCTAGCAGGTAATTTATTTAAACTACCTTTCCTTATTTGACGACAGCTGTGCATACAGCGAGTTGTGAAAACTAAACTGTTTTATCTTGATTACGACTTTACCCATTGTAATGTATTAAAATATTTTTTAACAGCACTGTGTAAATCGGTACTGTAAATATAGTTTTTAATGTATTTATTTAATAACCTGTGAATAATTCATTTTTGCTTTAAATATAGAGATAATGAAGCCAAACGGTAAAGAAAAATAAACAGTTGTAAGCTTTTATCAGTACATATAACAGCTACCGAAGAAAGAAACATTTCTTCAGCATAAAAAAATCAAATTAATTTTTTTCCCTCTTTATTTCTTTCACAGAAGGAATCAATCAATCACTGACATACTTACTTGCCTTGTGCCTGTTTGAAGTTATATTTTAAATACATAAAGCCTGCAATAAAATATATTGTCCACATTTAGTTACTGGGTTCGACTCATTCAAAAGGTTACAGATTACCAAGTAGCATACTAATTTTAAAATCAATGTTAACCTAAAAAATTGAGTCACATTAAAAATTGTAATAAGTATTATCGAATGCCAGTTGACAAACATATAATTTAATGTTAATTGTCTATGTTGCTGTTTAGCTTATCATTTTAAAGTTTTAAAATTATTGGATATGTAAATGGATGGAGTCGTCGGAGAGCGAATGTGCTTTTTGCTGCATGAAAAAGCTTTGTGGTGGGCAGCACCATTTGCTAGATAAACCATTCTTTACATATGATAGAGAGAAACCAATCGGATTGTCACATCCTCCTCCAACTCCCCGCTGAGGGAGGAGAGGAACGATCATCAAAGACCTACTGAGACTGTCACTCAAGCTGTGACTGTCTCGAGGTCAACTTCACGCTCAGAGGAAGTGACTGAATCTCGTCATCATGGTTTTCGTGCCGTTCAATTTTGCTCAATGTCCCGGCAAGACCTTTTTTTTCTTTTTTTTTTAGAACAGATATTTTTTTATATATAAGAACAGATACTTTTTTTTATTATACAAAACAGTTAAACAGTAACTAGTAATTCTTCGCGTCTGGATGTTGAGTGTGGATTTCTGCATGCACCCGCATAGCCTCTAATGGGAGGCATACGGTATAAACGTTGCAGTTGTATACTGTTTCGTGGTGGTGAACAGCCTTGTAGTGTACGAGTATGTTCATGTGGACTGTTTTGTCCCCACAAATAGGACACTGTTTGGCCTTTTTATGCCTTTTGGTTTCGTGCGCTTCAACTTCCGGGACCGAGTTGTATTTCTGGGTGCAAAATTTACATTGTGTGCAACTATGAATCAATTTTTCGGTTTTTAGACTTTTTGAATTTATATTGATGTCCATTTCTGAAATCGGGCTGAGGTTGTTTGGGTTCCTTATTGTCGCGCTTTGAGGTGTAGTTGCTTCCCTTGTTGAAGACTCCGCTGCACTCTTAGTCGTAGATTCTTGTTGGTTGCTCGGTGTTGGAGCTTGCAGTGCCGGTGGCACTGGTTTTTGTGTTGGAAGTTGCTCTTTGGGCGTTGTCTCTGGGTTTTTCGCTGCATCCTTGGTTGGAGATTTTTGTTGGTTGCTTGGTATTTGGGCTTGTGGTACTGATGGTGCTGTATTTTGTGCTGAAGGTTGAACCTTGGGCGTTGACTCTAGGTTGAACTCTTGGCATTGATTGGTCCAATGTAGGGTTGAGGAGCAGGATTGGCACGCTTGCCTTCTTCCAACAATTGCTATTGAAATGTTCAGTGATTTATTTTTGTAATTTAATTGAATGTAATGTGGGATGGTTGTTGGGTTGTCGGTGTATATAGTGAACCTGCGATTGTTGGTGTATGGGATTGCGCTTATGAGGGGTACTTTGTTGCTGTAAGGGCGTAATGCTTGCACAACAGTGGCGTTGTTGAGTGTGTGTGTGTGTGTGTGGGGGGGGGGGTACCCATCTAAGGGTCCCATTGATTTTGTTTTTTTCGTGTAGTGTGAAGTACAGTGTGTATGGGTCGTGTGTTTTGTAAGTGTTGTGCATCGTGGTGACATCAAAAGCTAGCGATGAGAAGAACCATGTGTCCGCTCTGCCACAGTTTAGTAAGTGGATTTGCTGGTTGCTGATTAGCTGCCGAATTATGTGTCCTCGCAGTTTTGGTTGGCCATTTGAGATAATACTCATTTGCATGGTGGGTGTTTCCACTGGAAACAGGTCAGGACACTCTTCTTGTGGTAGGTTCATTGTTGCTGTTGACTTGGCTGAAAAGGGTTGGGCCCAGGATTTCATTAAGCCACCCGAACCGTAGTCCAAGTGGCTCCTCCCCGGGTCTTTCGACCTAGGGGGATCATCCAAGGGCGCAACCCCTTTGCTGGCGGTGATAATATTTGCATTGTCGTCTTGGAGGATGACATCGTTGAATATTGAGGTGAGATTTATCGCTTGATCTAGCCATGACGGCGATGTAGAACAACAGTAGTACGACGATTACAGATGAATACCAAACGAACAGGAAAACCAAAAAGAAAACAGAGAAGACTGTAGCCCTAAAACAAATGTAAAGAAAAAGTTACATTCATGATAACACCACGTGTTGGCTACAACATACGCGGGTACAATAAAATATGTTGCGGCCAGTACACAGTACTGCCAACAAGTACCAATAAGTAGTACAACAATAAATACTTAAATAAATACTTAACCTAACTAGTGTGCACATGCAGCACTAGCAGGAATACACAAATAAGTATTCTAACAATAAACATAATTTATATAACCACACTACCTTTATTAGGTCTACATCTTGGTCATTGTGTCCACAGACAGCAGCCTTGCGTGTGACTGACACGGCCAGGCACGAAACTACCCATAGTCCCATGTCACATGACATAGGACACAGGTAAAATCGCTCACAAGAGCATGAACAAAAACTACATCAACAGGGCTACGGCCCCACAGGGGCCGCAACTCACTCAATAAATTAAAACTTTATTTATTATCCCCCCTTGGCTGGTAACCATATGTGTTACACATACTTTAATTAACAACTTAATTTTTTACTATAACAAAATGCTATACT